TTGGAAAACTTTGAGAGCCTTATTATTTTAGAGTTAAGTGTGCTGATTTGAACCTGTAACAGTCAGACCGGAGCTTAAGCTCTGTGAGGTGAGTGCATGCTGTTCGCTGTAAACGGAAACACAACCAGTCTGTTATGATTAAACAACAAACTTTGCACTCATTTGAGGTATATTTAAGTGCATCCCTGTAATACATGCCCTCAGGGTTTTGTTCATCAAAGAAAAGAGATGGGAAATAAACAAGAAAAACAGATGAATCTAACTCAAAAACTAAAAGCTCTCATCCTCTATTTTCCCTTTGTGTATGTTGGAGCTACAGTATCCTCTCTATTACCTTATTGCCTACCTATCAGGTATGAATCATACATCTGTTATCTATCCTTTGGGCTGGAACATAGAGCGCACAATGTTTGAGACTATATTTACAACACCTACACACAAAGCTTAATTTTTGAAGCCTTCATTCTGCCCTTTGTATTGAAACTGTTAGAGATGTTTTTCATGTCTTTGTTAATTTTGTAAGCCTTTGTGTATGTCTGACACATTTCACAATCACACCTGCACATGTCGGGTGATTTTGTGAGTAAGACAGTGGTGAAAGCTTAAGACTCCTCCCCACTTTTTTTTTTTTTGTCAGATTTGCAAATATGACTTAACCTTCTGTTTCAGTGATCATCATGAATATTTTCTTCTTTAAAAAGTATTTCAAAAGATTGTACTCAGGCCTGTGTGTCTATAGGTGCACGTCATTCTTTTATATGCATTCATAATGCACGCCTTTTTTGTAATGGGGGTCTGTTTGAGTGTCTGCAGTTTTGCCCTGTAGATTGGCTCTTCTTTTCTTGCTTTTGTTCTGCCAGCCTTTAGTTCTTGACAAATGCACTTGTCCCTCTCCATCCATGTTGCCCCTGGTTACCAAGGGAAATGCACATAGACGTCATGCGCGGCAACGGGGAGGGGCTAAGAAAAATGTTTTACAATGAAAAGCAAAAATTATACAGGTAGCAGACGACAGGAAAGAAGGAAGTAGAGAGGACAAGGGGGGTAAAGAATGAGAGCAATGGAGTGTGCGATTGACGCAAAAGAAAAACATTTGCTTAAAGAACAAGGCATCCATTGATTTTCTGTAAGGTGATGACAAACAGCAGGCTGTCAAATGAAGGCCAACAGTCCTCCAATGCTGTCAAGGCTGAGAGTGTCTCTGACTGAATGTTGCATGTCGAGGCACAATGCCTCAAACATTAATGACAGAAAACATTTTTTAACAGTTTTCTTAATCAGTGTAAACGATTTTAGAATGATTGTTCAATAGAATTTTCCAGTGTCAAAAACTAGCATGCACTCCTTTGATGGAAACAAAGCATACAGAATTACAACAAGTACAGGAGAGAAGCAGGGACTAAACACTTGCTTCCTCTGTAATGCCTCATGTTAATTATTTTACCTGCCAACAAGTGGGCCATCAATGCTCAGGGGTACACTTCTGTGTATTGGCTTGGAGTCCTATAAAGCTATTTTCACCTCTTTTTTGCATTTTTTATTCATTTAACTTTTATGCAAACTCACAGCAAACAATGTATAAATGTTGGCAGAAACAGTCCTCTGTATTATGAATGTTTATATGAAACTTTGTTTTTGAAGATGTTGTCTTGCAGAAGAGTGACTTGAACTTATTACATCCCTGCTGTCATTAAACCATTCAAGGTTTATGAACAGACACAGCAGTAAACAGTAACAGTAAAACATCACATTCATTTTCTCCGTAGTGGATTTGATTATTAGCCATAATAGGTTTTTCTTTTTCCGACCAAATCGTTTTGGGAACTTTTTTTTTTTTTTCCAACATATTTTTATTAAAGTTTTGGGAACTTTTTGATGAGGAACTATCCACTAGGGGGTTCTCTGAGAACTACACACCATGGGGACTTTTTTCAGTCTGCATTAACACCACCATGGTACCTACTCTGAACCAGGAGCTAAAAAGGTTCCTCTAAAACAGGGTTCTAGGAACTAAAATAGTTCATAGTTCCTGTGGTGTGGAATCAATAAAAAAGGGGGAGGGTTCAAATCCTAAAAACTTGAAAAAGTTCCTGCTGCTTAAAACACCTTATGTCATAACCATGCTTAGACTTACTATGAGCTACCTGTGTGTGAAACGAAGGTATATGCTCAGGTAGGAGAAGTTCTAGTTTCTGTAGTTCTTATATCAAGCTCATTTTATAATTACCATCTTATTCCGCAGTGAATGTAATTTATATATTCTACAACACAAACTACAAGACAACACTTAAACTGTAACAACGACAAATGTTTAATTTGAGAAGAAGCGACATCGTTCACAATGGATCGTGGGATGGGTAGTTCCTTGACTCCAGAAGAAAATTAAGTACACAGTCTTGCACCTTTGTATCTTTCTCAGTTTTTCCATCTTGGCACAGAACCAAATGTACTATAGTGACGAGTATTGGGGTAGCTGGTTGTCTTGGTTCCAGGCTTCAATCTCTTGATATAAGGATTTTTTGAAGTGTCAACGGAGGTAGAGAGGAAAACAATACATCTACAATAAACACCTCCAAAACTGATGACATTCCCACCTGAACCCAAATTTGTGTTTTGCAAAAACAACTGTCTGAATTTTTATCACTAAACAGTGACCATAAACACCTTACACTTAATCCATAGTGCTATTGCATAATTAGTAAGAATAGAAAATTGCAAGCTGGCCAGGTATAAATATCCAAATGTTGTATTTGTCTGATATATTATATTTGTTAAAGGTGCACTATGTAGATTTGGGAGTGAAATTTGGAGAAGTGAAACAATTCTATGCTATATTTTCTGAACTAAACACACTTTACACAGAGAAACAATGGGTCCCTGGAACACTGTTTAGAGCTTAAAAGCTACCAAGAGAGTTACGCTTTTACTGTTGTGGACCGCCCACCATAACTTCTTGCGTAGCATTTTATCTTCAAACAGTGTTCCAGGGAACAAATTTTCCTCTGAGGACAGTTTGTGTATAGAGTTATGGACATATACCACATAATCTGTACACTTCTACAACTTGCAAATGTCTCTACCAAAACTACATAGTGCACCTTTAATGTAATATTAGAAAGTCCCTCAAATTGTGAATCATTAAAAAGGAATGTCTGTCAATATAATCACCATTTATGTTGTGGAATTCAACTAAACAACATGTTTTCATTGTTATGGCAAGAATGATGCAACGCTGACGTGAGCATTTAGGTCACTACACCACTGTGCCAATGATATTAGCCTGACTGTTAGTCTTGGTCCCCTAATTCTCAGGAATTTGAACTTTAGCCAGAGAGAAATCCCCTGATTATGTTTTGATCTGAATTTTCACGTTTTTTTGTTACTGCATATTTGGAATGCAGCCTTCGTTCGGAGCAGCTTACTGTACATTATGCTGGAGCTTAATCAGCGCTGCACACAAGTTTGATAACTGCCAGCTAAAGACACATAGTAATTCATTATTTTTATATGAATTCAGCCAGTTTTAACATTTGGACTATCAACTGATCAATATTATCGTGAGTAAACGCTTTAGGCTTTCGGGTTGCAAAAGCTTGATTTATATGAATGAAATGGTCAAATAGTTAACACTTGGGAGTAAGAACAAATATCTCAAATATGTTCGGTGGCACGGACAACATAAAAAAAGGTTAGTGGTAGGTAAACTGCTCATTCAAGATAAGCTGCTCTTTGCTAGGATGAGGAAGGAAAATGCTCGATGATAGCATACGAGTCTCAGCAGCATCAGCATGTATACCTCTTTAAAAAACTAATACAGTAAAAGGGAGTGGCAGGAGCTTGAGCCAAAATGATGATGGTTGCTTTAAAGGTCTTTAGTTTAAATAAAATGTAAGCAAACAGGTAAACACATTGCGTCATCTGCTTTTTTCTTAGAGATGTCCTCTTAAGCTGAGTGTGGACTGAGGGTTTCTTAATAACTAAAGAATGCTTTTAGTCTAGTCTGCTGCATCAAGAGCTGCACCATTGCAGATGCATGTGCCTTGACTCTCTTGGTGCATGCAAACAACAATTTTATATTTGTTACTTAAGCTTACCCTATTTCTCCCTTCATGCCTCCCTGGTTTTGTCTCCTCTCTATTGTGTACACAGTACACACACACGCACACAGGCACACACACTCAAACACTCTCTCACACATGCTCACGCTCCACTCAGCTCCAAAGGATCAGTAGCTTATAAATCAGCTGCAGTCAGCAGTCAGTCTCTCTGCACAGGGAGAGGGAGGAAGGAGGGGATAAATTGCTTTGACTGGATGGAACTCAAATCAGCGAAGCCTCACTGGACTGAATCCTACTGGATTGGTAGCTTTTTACTGGTGATCCATCAAGAGAGAGAGGGGAGAGAGAGCTGGACTGTTCTCTACTAGTTTAGTTAAACTCTTTCTTGGCTTCATATAACTGGACAGTGCAGGGTTCGTCTGCAGGCCAAGGAGAGAAAGGACTGGAAGAGACGGAATTCCCTCATCTTTTTTTTTTCCTTCTGCATCCCGCCCGCCCTCCCTCCCTCCCTCTCTCCCTCACTCTCCTTCCATCCTCCCCTCATCTTCTCTCTTGCACTTTCACAGCAGACACCCAGTGTTGCAGAGCAGACAAAGGCAGCAGCCCTCAATGCTTCTGTTCATCTGCTGGCTCCTTAAAAGACGAGAAAGGAGAAAGATACCAGGGATTTTTCTTCTCTTTTTCTCCCCTTCTTTTTGTACAGCCGGAGCTGCATGTGTGAGGAATTAACTGCAGATATTTTCAGTGTGTCATCTGGGGGATTTGTGGATGCGTGACTTTTTTTTTTCTTCTTTTTTTTTTTTTAACATATTCCTAAATTTTGAGGAAAGCATTGGACTCTGACAGAGAAGACGCATATGTTTAGCTTGTGTTCATCATTTTTTTCCCAATACATCCTGGCAGTTTTACTGTTTGTTTAATCGGGTAGTGCTGGTGGTGCAGGAGCCGGGGGCCGGCATGGCCCAGCAGGCGAGTATGGGGGTGACCCACCAAGACACCCTGGCAGTGCCCCCCATGCCCAAACACTCTGGCCTGAATGAAGACTTGGTGAAGATCCTGCGAGAGAACCTGCTGCAGCCGGAGAGGCCAAGAGGACACCGGCGCTCACCCTCCTCCATCTCCCCCCGCCTCTCCCCCCCGCAACTCACCGCGACTGCTCCGCCGCATGCTGCTCAATAACAACACCCACAAACAGAGGCGCTTCACCGTCGCACATACATGGTGAGACTCGGCTGCAAAGGTTGAGACTGGAGGATTGATAGCTGTTGCATGGGCTCATAAAGTGCGTTTGTCTTTTGTCAGACAGCATGTTAGCACACCTGCTGCAAACTTTCACGGCTGGGACTGTGTTTGTTTAACATTGTGTGCAAGGGTGGTGGTGTTTGATTTGCCGTCTGAGTAATTAAACTTTGTTTGCGGTTTTAACTCAGAGGCACTCGTCTTGTTGAGAAATGGTAGGCGGGTAAGTGGGCAGACGTCTCTCGTCGGTGATGTACGTCAAATCTCCACGGAAACCCTCTTCTCACCTTCGATTAATGAGTTTCTCTCTCTCCCTCTCCTGCCAGCTTAATCTCCATTTCTATCGCTCTCCACCTCTCCCCACTGTGTGTGCCTGTTACCCATTCTTGCTCCTATCACTCCCTCTATCTTACCTCTTTCTTTGCTGCCTCTGCTTTTACCTCTGTGTGATACACACCAGTGCAATATGCAAAGAGATATACCCCAAAGCTGCCTGTCTTGTTAGCTAGGTAGAGCCATCCATCACTACGTTTTCTTCCCTCCTGCTGAGGATTTCTCTCCACACTTGCCTGCCTGCAGTTTTTGACTATTAATTAGGCTTCTATTCCTGGCTGTCTATCAGCCTCGACTGCACTCGCCCACGCCTCGTCCCTTCCCTTCCTCTTCTATCTATTCCCCTTTCGACACCCCCCCCCGTACCTCTTGCGTCCCTACCCACTCTCGTTTTCTTTCTCTCCCCTTCAACCAATTTATCTCCATCCTCAAACCACCCCCTCCATTAGCCAGTCTTCTCCATCTTCTCACACCTCTCCTTATTTCTCCCCTTCTCTCTCTTTTACTTTGATTTCACCCCATATCTTGTGTCCAGTTTGTCTCCTCCCAACCTTTCCCATTGGACACCTCCCTTCTCTTCTATCTGGATTGTACTTCTGACGTATTTAAAAAAAAAAATCTCATATTCACACACTTAAATCCACTCATGATTTCTTCTTCACTCTTCTTTCTCTGATTTCCATCTGTGTTGTATCTCAATTTTTCATTAGTCTCTTCAAGTTTACTCCCTTGCCATATTTTCCCTTCTCTTGTTTTCCTTTTCTCCTCCATCTTTCATTCACTCTTGCATCTATCCTCCCTGCTTCCTTTGCTGTCTCTTTACCTCTTATCAATGGTGCCACTAATAGCTCAAGGAGATAAACCTCATTGCTTCCCTAGCTTTGTTCTATTTTTATTGCACACTGTTTTATGTGTGTCTGTATAATTTAGATTTTATGAATTAATTATCTCTGTGGAAAATTGCACTGTGTATGTGTGTGTGTGTGTGTACGTGCAAGTGTGCGGGCTGTGCGTGGTTTGTTAATTCAGATTATGTAATTTTACACACCACCACCATCGCTCTCCCTGGTGCCGCATTAAGCAGAAAGCTACTTCTCAGAGTTTCATATTAAGCAGCAGAAAAGACTCTCAGTCTGGAAATGGATTTTCCTTGTTACTGCTTTGACACTCATCCTTGTCATCAGAGTGGCCAGTGAGCCTCATTTTCAAATAAAGTCACACTTGTTAAATACGTGAGGATGATGAAAACAGCAGGGGCAAAACGAGACGCGCTGGTGGCATGTTGATGCAGTCATTAAAGCTAAGAAGAGGAGCCATGATTTAAAAAAACAGCCAACTGCTTGCTTCCATAACTTAACGATATGCTGCCATGTTCAGTTAGGTTACTCAGTATGCACATGGAGGGGTGTCTCGTGGTTATCCGTTGAATTACAGGGAATCCATTTTCAAATGTTTTCTAGTGTTGTCTGAAGGGTCTCTTAGCACCTTCCAAGTATGTCTGAGTAGATTTACCCATCCATTTGTACATTCATGCAGATCTTTACCGGTTTGAAATGTTGCCTGATTTGACTGACAAGAAGAAGCCCAATAATTGCTGGAATCGCAATCGTAAAAGAAAAAAAGGTATTCAGCCGAATCCAAATTTATTTATGAAGCACATTTGACAACAACATGAAGCTAATGCGCAAGTGTAAAATCCTGCAGTTCCTCGAGTGTCCACTTGAGGCTGGCTCCAGGAACACAGGAAGTCACATACAGATGACTGGCAAAAATCAGCATAAATAAACATGTTTACAGCCTGGTACAGAAAACGAAATAGGTCTGAATAGTTACTGTCATCATAGGCACACACTGAACGGGGGGTGATTTTGTTTTTAAACGGCTCCGTTTTGATTTTGAAAACGGTGTATGTTATCCATAGTTAAGTGCTTAGCTGACATGATTGACAGGTGGGCATGATGTAACGGTTCGTCAATAGGCTTAAAACCCGCCTCAGCTCCAGCTCTCAGCCTGTCGTTAGGTTGACTGAAAGTTAGACTGAGACAGCATTTCAAGCATGGTGGCTGCTGCTGAAGAGCCTCCGGAGTCGCCTGCACTAACCCGCAATTCACACATACTCCGTGCGCGCCGCGGTCCGTCGGCGCCACAGTGCGCCCATTCACACTGGATCCGTTTCTGGGACGTCAGCGGAGCGCACCCATGACACATCACAGAAGAACTACAAGATCCTGCGGGAATAAAGAGAAAAACATGCAAACAACATGTTGCTTTGTCTTTCTGAGGATGCATTGTTGTTAATTCGGTTCCTGTTTTGACGTAATGTTGATAAAGTGATGAAAAATATGATCGCGAGTCCGTATATTGTGTTTTATTTTGAAATTAACCGGATGCTTTGTGCCTTTCCTTGTCTGACTTCCTGTGCGGGCTGTCATATTCTGTCCAGCTTGACACGTGCCTGCAGCGCACTCCGGCGAAAATAGACTCGCTGCGTATTTGAAACGGAGCGGAGCGTAGTGCCGTCGGTGACACGCGCCGGAGACGGACCGCGGCGCGCGCTGTGTGAACACAATGATTGAGTGGCAGCTAAGTACAACGTAGTGCGCGGCGCTGATGGACCGCGGCGCACACGGAGTATGTGTGAATTGGGCTTAATAGACGGCTGATGATGTCACATTAATATTTACAGTCTATGGTTTAGACAAATATAAAAAGAATTAAAGCCAACTCTCAAGTTGAGCCAAAACCCAAAGCATAAAAGTGCGTTTTAAGGTTAGATTGAAAAACAGGCAGTGTGGCAGACAAACATGTGGAGGAAGAGCGTTCCAGAGCCTTGATGCTGCTATTGAAAACGCACGGTCTGTCCTGAACTTCAATTTAGACCTTGGGACAGTCAGAAGCTAAACTATGGAGAATAGAGAGAGAAAAACTCTGACTCATGTAAAAGCAACACTAACACAGTTAGTACGACAACAAGTACTTAGGCTACATAAAGGTACACAAGGATTAGCATCAAATCAGGCTCAGTACTTTAAGTAAAAGAAGTCAAAATGTGAACTGGCCCATTGCAGGGTTTCTCTCCTGTTGCCTCATTATAATAATAATTCTATCAGTGCTTTACAGAAGAAAAAAAATCCAAACAGTAAAATATACAATAAAGTCCCAATTCCAAATAGAACACAGCAATGTAGCAATAACACATGGAGACATGGAGAATAAAAGAGGAACTGTAATGGTTGACTAAAGGAGACAATAAATAATACAAATAAAACATCATGAATAAAACATTAAAATTACAAAAATGCCCTTTGAATAAAAAAGTACATTAAATTAGATACTGATGTTGTAATGATTGCATTAATGTATAATTATTACGTACTTGTTGCAGCTGGAATCAGTGGGGATAATTGCACTTTATTAAAAGCTGCTGGGCTTATTAAAGTATGACATTAAATCAAAATGTATACGTTTTATTTGAACCTGTAAAGTAACTGGATTAAGTAATTATATGCCAAAATTAGACTTAAACACAGCACGTTACCTAAGTACATTAGCTGTTAGTCTCCAGCATGTTAAGTAAGACATTTCCATGATTGGGTTAGGTTTTTTTTTTTCTAGGGAATTCTTGATAAAATTCTAGGCAGTAAAAATGAATCATCAGGCTTCGAATGTCTGTTTTAAATGTCAGTCTTGGGTATTTCAAATCTCACAGCTAACACTCATCCTGGTGTTTATCCTTGGCTTCAGAATTTGAATAAAACACTTTCTGGTTTCCGCTCTCACATTCTTCACAGTCGGTGTTTGATGCTGTTTGGCCTTCACCTGAGCCTGCAGCAGAAAACATCTCTTTTATGAGATAGTGAGAAGGAATGTGTTTGCTCCCACGTATCACACGTAAATCTGAATGCAAAATGTGCAGTTTTGTTTGACACGTATCCCTGCAAGTAGGGTCGACGCGATACCAGATTTGAAAAACTTTCAAGTGATACCAGTAAAATCTAAAATACCGATACCCGTTTCGATAACATTCTTGTTTCTGATTGCCAGCAACTGTAAGCAAACTCGTTCACTCTGTCTAAATTGCACAAATACATTGATGAACAGTGCCCTCTTCTTCCTGTGGGAGCTTGTGGGTAAAGAAATGGACATGTTGCTGCAGTAGCTGGGGATCGAACCCTCGGTTGAGAGACGACCGGCTTTACCAACTGAGCCACCGCAGCCCCACCTATTTTTTTCCGATTCTGTCAATCAGTTAAATTATGGACATTGTGTCGTTTTGAAAATGTGAAATGTATAAAAGTATACAAAAAAATTGGACAACCTTACTTTCAACTTGACTGTGGGGATGTACAAACATGCAAAGACAATGATAATGGACCAACACATCCACTTAATCGCTTGGTGGTCACGTTCATGTGTGGTTATTGTCTTGACATTTGAGCAGACAGGAGTCAGACAGAATATCAGACGGAGATGAAGAGAGTGTGGGAGGTTAGAGAAAGAAATGTCTGTGTTAGTGTGCACACGTGTGAGCGAGGGCACAGGAGGCAGACGATTTCTTTGCAGGAGAGAGACACACCATCAAATGGCTGTAAGGAGTCGGGAGGTTGACAACTGCAGTGTAATCTACTCCAATCACCTCCTCATTGTTT